TACAGTTTTGATAAGAAATTTGTGCTAAACCCTTTAATGAAATTGGTTTGCTCTATTGGCTTTCTATTCGTTTTCTGCGATGTGATTTCTGTGTAATCATAATTTTGGCCCACCCTGTAGTCCCACTGGGACAGGATTTAGTTTCCGCTCGAACCCCGCCCTCTGTGTCGGAGTCTGGTCCTGTCACACACCATAAGCGTTCCCATCCTGTCGCCTATACTCTTTCCAACTTTGAACTTTATAGGTCCACGGGGACAGGAGTTATGATTTCCCAAAAGGTTTTCATAAAGCATTGCATTTTTGAAGAACGCCCCGCCTATCGGGGATGGGTCTCACCAGTTGCATCTAACTTACCAATTCACACCTCTAGCCACCTTCATATCCCAGTTTTGAGGCCGCCTTGTGAATGACTGAATTTGAAATCATGGTCCTCAGTACAGTTTATTTCGATGCACGCCACGCCCACTGTGGGCGGGGCTCCGCTAAGCCGGTATGCTTTATACTTCCCGGGACATGGCCCACCCATCCCACGCTTGACCCGGTCTCTCCAAGCAGATCTGAAGGAGCTAAGGAATTTCGTGGCAGACATACAGACAGAACGGCAGACAGACAGACAGAACGACAGACGAAGCGCTTTATAGTAAGTGGGATGTCTGTGTTCGTGCATGTGCCGGTGTTGTTTGACAAGAAATTCATAACTCCTTTTTCCTTGGACTTAGAGGATTCAAATTTGGTAGGAGTATGGGCGGGAGGACGGGAACACCAAAGGTAGGTGGCGAGACTATACTTCGCTCACTCGTCCGGGGAGGGCGCGAGGTAGGTGTTTAGCCGAAAATTTATGTCCTGCTCACGTGAACACAGAGCGACCAAGGAATGCAGACGACCGGATAGGAGGGCTGACGGCTGGTGAATACTCCTCACCCAGAGAGCGGAAAGGGAATCAAAACTCTATTACTTCATGAGACAAGACAGATTTAATCGTCCCGTGAATGTGTGACACAGTAACACAAACACACGCTGAAATGCCTCCAAACACCCGTCACGTATACGACGAAAATGAAATGTACCGCGGGTGAAGCCCGAGTGGGTGATCGGGTGTAGGGGGTTACTGTGTCACATATTCACGGGACGTTCCCTCTAATCCCTATGGATTGAGCAGGACTTCGCCCATGACGGGCTGGGTGCTCACAAAGTGCGTAAAGGTGTGAAATTAAATGAATGTGTAGTTCAGAAAATTTGCATATCCTGTACCCAGAGCATGCGAATTCGAAAAGGACGGTTATTTTCAACCGAAAAGGAAGAGAGTCCGGCGTCAGCCGGGCTATCTGACTGGTTTGTATCTAACCCATCTAAAGAAACATCATCTGTTGCCGCAATGGTATTTTTATCGAACTACATCTTCAGAAATTCTTTACACTTACCCGTAGACAAAAGTCACATATGTCTGTCTTTGTACGAGACAAAAAGAACTCTGCTCTCTGAGTAGGTCGTGCAACTTGTCTTCAGCAGTGCGACAATCAATCTAAAGAAAGACATAACATGAAGAACGGAGAAATTTTTCATATTCACAGATTTCAGGAACACTCGCAAGCATGATGAGAATGAAAATTTCACTGTGAAGCAGAAAATACTTACTTTCACATCACTTTTGAGTCCGAACATATTGAACGGTAAATTAGAACTTTTCAGTACCACTCTTTCTGCGTGCATATGGACCCACTTTTGCCTGAAACTACTGATTTCACGACCACTCTTGGGCCTCAACAGGGGATGAACAAATGGACATTGGAAGTCCTCAAACTAAGAAAGAAAGTATGCGAAATTTCTCCGAGAGCGGATAGGCAGTAGAAGAGCGGGTGGGCCAAGAATTGAGATAGAAAAGGTCGCTCTTCATTTTAAGGGACGATGTGAGGCAAGCCGAAACAACAGCAAGTTGAAGGCTGCCTCAAATACCTCAACTTAAGCACATTGCCTCAAAGAGTCGGCTAACAATATCGCGTGTGGCTCGTTGCAAAACGGTGTTTTGACCAAAAAACACCGTTTTGCCAACACAGTACACAACTTTCTGCTCGTCAGATGGTAGAGGAAATACATATTTTACTACTGAACATTTCTATGTTGCACCGCACCCACTTATTCTTACAATAAACCCCTCATACTGAAACTGAGAAAATAGATACGTAAATTAGGTCCCTTAAGAGCCATGAAACGAAAAACATTTCATGACATAGACAAACACTGTTCCTAATGAGGACCGGCTCACCACGATTTCTCATTCAGTTGACACAGAGAACTCCAGAATCCCACGAACGTGTTTGCATTTTCTTGTTCAGTCCTCAAGTAAAAGAAAATTACGATACAAGCCTCCACAAATAATAGACGAAGATAACGGTGATCTCACACTAGTCAACTTACCCAAGAAAAATGCTCATCTCCTTCGCTTTGTCTTCCAAAGTGAATATCGGTATTTTGGTTGATACACCGATCGGAATGGTGTAAAATACTGGATCGCTGTTGAAGGCATGTATGTGTAAAAGTACACGATCAGCTTCAAGGATGCTAAAACACGATAAATTAAAAGTTGTAAGATTGAATATGCAAGAATCGAATTGAAGTCATCAGATCGAGCCCCGGGCAACCGTGTAAAGATGTACGAACCTGTTGCATATGCGTTTAGATTAAACTGTAATCCGAGTGTGATGAATGCGTCAGAAAATTTTTTGACACTGCTCCTAATGCAGAATTTCACAGCATCCTCTAAGATGCTTTCCTTTCAAGACACTGGATTTTTTAGCATATGGCATATCATATTCATGAAGACTGCGGCATATATGAGAAGAACCAGGAACCCCGAAGGAGCAATTTAATTTCATCTGGTAGTTACTTTGCAATCTTATTCAAGACCTACTTAAGTTAATATGCGAATATGATGGCACAATACGGTACAGCTGGTTTAGGAAGGATATAGAGGGGAAAAGCACTCACTCATCGATAAGATTCCTCAGAGACTTGACAAGCTTTTGTCTCACGGCATTCGGAAACTGTCCTTCTGATAAAAGGTCCTTCAGTTCATTATAGGGAGCCTGTATGACGAGATCTATCGTTACATCTTCCCTGCAATTATTACAAGATAAAACACACTGCATAAAAGGATGAAGTGCAAAACCTAAATAGTTCTGTCACTAATGCTACCCACAGTAGTACCTGTTGAAAATTAGCAGCGTTTCTAATGCCTCACAAATCTAATCCGGTCTTACAAGGCCAGGAAATTAATCAGACTTGTACGAGTGTATTGAATGCGTGTATGGCCCCTTGTGGTTGCTACAACGACTTGTGGTGGCCAGCTGATGAACAAGTCAGCGCTTTTATTTTCCCAGACGAGTCTGGTACCAACTAACCGACCCCGGATTGATGAAAGCTTTGTTGGCCTAGGCGGATATCGCTCCAGGATTTGAACCCGTTATCATGCGCGCGTGATAGTGCGCCCTTGCCACTACTCCAACTCCGCACTAGATTATATAAGGATAGTGCGCATGTAGAGAAGAAAACGTTATCCAAGGGTGGTTGTAAAGCCTTGTATGCTCTTGTGAAATGATAATACGGAGATGTCGGCAGACACTTTCAAAATGGCGTTTCTATTGGCTTCGGATTAAATGGCAGCGCGCAGCCCTTCCATTTCTGGAATTGTGATTGAGGATGCTGCATCGTGATTCGATAAAATGAGATCACCGCCAAGATTTTGCAGAAAAGGTCATCAGGAGCGACAATAGAAGTGAGGGATTCCATTGATGGTTGTGAAAAGTTGTATTTATGAAATTCACGCGCCCCTCGAGTTTTTGTTCTTAATCTCGTTCATCAAAAGTCTCATGCGTGGTGAAGCTCTTGTAAATGGGAGCAGGCTAACAGCTGCCTATGAGGCCACTTTACTTAGATCCCAACAATTACAGAATGGTTAGTTTAACTTTAAGTTTTCAATGCATGAGTGTTTGAAAAAAGGGTCAAAAAGGATTTGTTGTCACATTTAGAGAAATATGATATCATCCCTCACTCACATCGTGGCTTCTGTACAGGCAGATCTACTGAAACTTCACTTCTACATTGTAAAAGTGTGTGAACGAATGCCACAGAAGCTAGGGAGAACGTCGATGTAGTTTATCTAGACCTTAGCAAGGCGTCAGATTTACTGTCACACACGGTATGGTGCAGTAGGATCGAAATTGTCGCGTCGCGGCGAGAGGGACGCTGCGCGTGAAGGATTGTAGCAGGATGCAGTAGCAGGTAAGAAATACAGGGAGAAAAGAATTTACAGTAGAATCGTGATTGAAATATCGATCGCATACCGATTGAGTTGTATCAAGAACAATAGAGCTGTAATAACGGCGGAGCGGAGGTCGCGACAGCCGCGTGCGGCGAATCGATTATACAAAACCGATCTTACTGCCCGCCTCCCCGTCACACAGGATTGTAATTCGTAAGCTTAACGCATTAGTGTCCACTCATCAGTGGCTGCTTTCACCGATGTGCCTTCCGACCGTGCGTCTCACAGACCGACCGACCGTGTTGGTGGCTACGTGTCGACAGCACTGGCGCGAGATCCTTTGATGTCCAGTACTGTCAACAAGTGGCTAGCGCCGCCGTTGGTCGGACGCACGGTCCGAGGGCACGTCAATGAACTCTGAGAGCAGCCAGTAGTCAATTGAATAGAAGATTCTCTCAATAATAGAACGTTTCACTTTTTGGTAGGGCTCCATTATGGACTGTTCGAGTGGCATGCAGCGGTGTGCCGTAGGGGGAGCCTTGTTTCCTGTGGTATTCAATATTCTCACTCACCTCCCTGGCGCCTTCCAGGATATAGGTTTGTTTTGCAACATTTACGCGGACAACATTAAGTTGTACAAAGTAGTAGCAGACAAGAGTAGGGATGAATATATGCAAACAGCAGAGAGATAAGACTATGGGTTGGGTTAAGAGATACGGCCTTACTCTATCCCTAGAAATGACTCGTGTCATGCACCTAGGTGCACATACGTCTAAACCCACTTATACAATGGATAGCGCCGTTTTGAACCGATTCGTCCGAAGTTCGAGTTCTGGGGCTCTATTATGATCACTAGTTGAACTTTTATAAGCGCTACAAATCACTGGTGTCTGAAGGTCTCGAGAGTTTTAATCTATTCGAAGAATCAGGATGAGCGAAAAGAGTCGCTAAAAATGGCACACGATATAGCTTGGTCGAACGGCTACTACAATTTTTCAACAGCGCGTAAAGCTTCTGATGGCGGTCTGATCCTCAGACATGGTAGAACTCCGATGGAAGGAAAGATTCCTTTTGTACTACCATTTATTTCTGATGAGGTCAGTGCTTCCATCAGAAAGTGTCTTAAGAGATCGGGTTTGGAAAATTTAGTTGCTATTGTAAACGTACCACCCTACAATCTAAAGAAACGGCTAGTTCGGAATAGGCTGTACGATCGCCTCTGTACAACCTCAAACTGTGTGGTCTGCCCAGCTGGAAGGGAAGGTGATTGTAACATGTCTGGGGTGGTCTACAAAATTACTTGCCGTGATTGTGGTGATGAATATATTGGCGAGACGGCAAGACCACTCCACGTGAGGATTAAGGAGCACATAGCTGGTATGAGACGATTAAAAGAGTCTACTGCCTTAGGGAGTCACCGCATTCGAAAGCATAATGCAGGCGTTTTTGAGGTTACCGTGGAGGTCGTAGCACAGGAGTCAGAATTGTGCGCACGCAAAACCCTCGAGGCATTTTGGATTCAAGTCACCGATCCAAAAATGAATCGTAGGGAAGAATGACTCGCAATCACGCGGGAGCTGCGGCCTTATATAAGATTGGCCTTCCCGCGGTGACTTTTAATGAAGGTTTACCCCAGCTGACACTGGTCGGTTGGTACCATCACTTGCTGGGTGGTTTCGAAGATTCCACAAAGCTACGGTGAGTGCCTCTCCTTTCGATCACTTGTGTGCCCTGGGGGGGTTCGAACTTCGGTGAGTTGGTGGAGACGTTTGATCGGGTAATCACAAATTGGTATGATCCTTTCAGGCTCTGAAGAAGGCGATATCGCCGAAACGTCAGCCTAATAAAGCCTGTTTACAAACCTCGTGAAGAGTTCAGAATAACAATAAACTCTATTCGAAGCGTTCAGAACAAAGGATGCATGTATGTTGCAGCAAAATTATAAAAATTATATAAGACCTATGATAGAGTGTGGAACTACAGGATTCAACTCGCATCCGAAAAAGGATATACAAGTTCTGGAAAGCGAGCAAAATAACTTCACGCGCAAGCACAGACTAGAAGCACAGAAGTTAATTATTCGGCTACACCTAGTGGTTTAGTGAGGAATATTAAATGTGGTTCAAAGTCATTAGAATGGATGAGGGAAAGATATGACCCACTCATGACTCTTTATATTTTGAGGAATGTTGTTGAATTAGATGCAGGTGACTTTTTCCGAGTGTTGCCGTTCAGCAGGAGAGGTGCGTTAATTAGATTGGCAACATCCTATGCTACAATCAGGACTGGTCAAAATTCTTTAGTAACAGAGTGCTTTCCTGTTCCAAGTGAGTATTACGATCCAGTTTGTTCTCGTGGAAGTATGCCAGTTTGTTCTCGAGGAAGTATGGCACGTTCAAGAAACTTATTCGTGGGAGCATTTGAAAATTGTTCTGGTCTTAAAGTTTCAGTTAGGGGGTTATTACGGTGTCACGCTTTTGTTTGTGTTTGGATGTTCACATGTGTTTGACATGTTCTTAATGAATAAAGAAATAAATAACTCCGACACTAGCTGTGCGCTACCACGTTCCATGAATGGAGAAATGAACTATGTAACCTCATGGAACAACCTATCCGTCTTCATTTTGAAGTAACTCTGAGGATGCATCACAACTTTGCTGCTTCATGGACCAAGGCTATCAGTGAGAGCACATTGTATGAAGAACGATAAATCAGGCTCTGATTTTGACACTGCCAACTCGTACCGTGTGATATTGGAAGATGAGAAAAGTAAACAATGCAAACATTTACCTTGACATCTTGTCCGAAGGCCAGTTAGCTATTATTGTGTAGTCGATGAAAACCAACGGTCGAAACGGCATGCTCAAGACAATCATAATCCGTGTGTCATTATTGCATAACCTCACTGGAAAAGATAATTGAAATCAGTACACTAAGATTTACAGAGTATGTTCAATAAAAGACGGAAGCACAGTAGTACAAAATAAAGCAACCAGCCTTGCTTAAGGGTAAATCCTTCCCTCAGACGAATATACAAAATCTCATGCAGGGCGCTCCGGTATACCGAGCGAATGTAGCGATGCCTCACGACATCGCTTAAAATATTTTCTTTATAGAAATACATTACATTGCAAAGTTGTCACGAAAGAGCTCACTTCTTGTATAATTGAGCGAACTCAGGGTTGATTTCATTTACAAGATTTGTAATATGTACATTATCCTGGAGTGCATTTTGGAAGCACCAGCAAAGTAGAGCCCTGAAAATTGGATGTAAAAAAGGAAGGTGGGCCTAGGCACTATTCAATACCCACTACGATCTTGTTCATTGCGTTAGACCAATGGCTCAAAAAATAAACGCTTAATTGTCACACTCGAGCATTTCTGCTCTAAAACTATGCACTAAGCGTGACAATATTTGCTCAAACGTCAAGAATGTTTGGACGATAATTTCATAAGTAGTACTTGGGCTGCCCAACGGATGACGGGCGGAAAGCGATAAGGGGTTCGGTTCTTCTGACTAGGCCAATGGTTACTGCATTTCTCATTAAAAATCGACTACTTTTAGATGCCCAAATATGCTGGTTCTGCTTAACTATTTGGTACGAACTACTTAGCAATCTACGCAGAAATGTATCAGGTAATATCGAAAACAGTGAAAAATGTGCGTGCTTGAGTACCTTGAAAGCGTTGAGTTCAAGCGTAAGCCAATAGCGAAAGCGACCTCGTACAGGATTAAAGTCCACACGACATCGCAATTCTGCCAGCGCGAAGTAGGAAAGCAGTCAAGGGATGCTTTTAGAGTTCAACGACCGACCGACCGACAGACCGACAGCGGTGCTGAGCCGGACGAGAACTTCCATCTGCCATGACCTTTACCACATAGCACTTTGCACCTCTACTCCGCAGCTTCTCATTGTCAGTAGCCATAACGTTAACCACCCACCTGTGGAACGGATTCAATGGTTTGTACTCGTCCTCGTCAACTTCTTCCTCATCTTCAGAGTAAACCAGCGGTTCATGAATATCGTTCATATCCACGCCAATTGCACAGCGGCAATTCGGAATATAGACACCAAATGTCGCCATCGCGAGGAAATGAAACAGTTCGCATGATGCCACATGACCGAAACAAGCTTCATTGCGAGAACGGCCTTGCAACTAAAATTTTAGTGTGAATTCCATATCAGCTCGAGATCTGGAAGAAGGCTGGCTATTACGGAAAGCGTAAGTTTCGAAATATGGCCTGTCGGGCTAAAGAACTTCTTTCAACTAAAACTTTTTGTAATCTTAGATCCAGGTGGGCAAGCAGATTCGATTGTGCGGGAATGGGGCAGCAGCGGCCTTAGTTTGCCTCGACAAGACCTTTCTTAACTCACCTGTTAAGGATGAAAGGGTTAGAACCCCTAGCGACCTAAGTTAAAAGCGCTACCGCGTTGGCCACCGCTGACCCATGATCCAGAGGATCTTCACCCATATTCTGCTGTCGGTATAACTCTTCATGGCGAACGTTTATAATTCTTACATTATAGGAAACGACATTTCATTTGCAAGAAACGTGAGCATCTTGTTATCTAATCTCACTGTGTATTACTCGTTGAGTGTGCCTGTTGATTTGTCGGTTCGAGTGTGGCGGTATTTATCTGTGGGTGTGTCGAGGCGCTTCGGTGTGGCAGTGTGTGTATTTGACTGGAGGTACGGACTTCCTGCTTCGAGTGTTCAAATGGTAGGGGTTACGGCATAATTGGAAAATTGAAGGTAGACAGCAACATTGGATTCCGCTCAGGGTGCGGAGCGCGCGAGATTTGGTTTTATAGAACTAGTCCCATTTTGAAGGGATGAAGGTGGCGGGATGGGAACATTGGTGATAGATGGACGACTGAACTCTGGGTGGACGGAACGTGAGCGAAATGAGCGTTATCCCGATAAAAATGAGCAGCCAAGATGAGATAAGTAAGGCTTGAGCATCTATTTGAACAGTCATGATCAGATAAAAGTTGGCGTTAGAAGAAACAATGAGGATGTTGTTTATTCAATCACATTTCTGAAGGGAGTTCTGAGGTATCTGCAGTCTTTCACACCTGTTCTGAACGCGCGAAGTATAGCCCACCACAAGGTAAAATCATGGTTTAAAAGTCAATTCATAGCCAACAAAGAATTGTTGTCCTTCCGTCGAAGAGTACTGCGTAATAATGAGATAAAGAGGCCAACCGCATAATCCGATGACCCGGTGCTCGAAGTCTTCGAGCAGCTATGACTCATGTCCCGCCAACGTTACTACCATGTTTGACAAAGATGATTACCCATGTTAGTTACAATCCTCTAAATCAGTGCTGCAATGAGGTACACAGGAATGCACTTCGAGGTAGGTCATCCTTACTACCAACGTGTTGCAAATGAAAAGCAAATTTGGCGACAATCCGGAGAATGGGGTAACAAAAAGCATCAAGGTTGTGGTGTGATCCCCGTCAAAGATGGTCAACTCGAACTAGGTGAACTACTCTACTAGTGCCTAATAACAGCCCTAAAGGTTACCTATTTTCGCTGATTCCTGCGAGAATCACACCGTCTCGTAGCTTGGACATAAGGCTTGTTGATAGAAAAAGGTGAAAAAGTGTGGCCAACTATAGTAATGATCGAAGGATACCAAAAAACCAGCCCACACCTGAATAAAAGAGCATGAAACGGTGTAGCTTCGTAGTTGGCTAAGAAGTTGCTGCAAAGCATTTGCGTCCGGCATACCACAAACTGCATCCGTTATGACAATTATATCTGAAATTATAGTATGGCAACTTATTACGATCAACGTAATAATGTAAGAATGGCGTGAATGAACAAACTCGATTGCGTATTTTCGTGCATCATCTGCACAGCAATAAGGCCTAGTCGCAACATGAAAATTAGGGCCCATTCTGGATGTATGTATCCGTCACAGAGAGGATTCCTTGTTGTGTTCTCATCTTCAGCAGCACTTACCGTCCTATATGCAATGACATTTTAGCAATCTAATCAACAAGAGAAAAAAAATCAATGAATCAAAAATTAATTGAAACGATGCCACATAAAAGAGCAAAGAGTAGCTCACCAGACCCCCTTGACGTAGTCCATGATGCTTCTAGGATGAATAGGAGCAGGCTTCATAGGGACGCTATTTACAACCTGAAACACCCATGTTTGAACTGCTCAGAGAGGGTCATTTCATAAATGCCAATGCTCTTTAAAATTGCTTCTAAAGGTAATGATAAGTAATGACATAGAGAAAGTATCTCACCTTATTTGGTGAACCATCGTTGCACAAAGAAGATGTCCTCGTTGTTTCATACTCTCCTATACATTCGATATCACCACACGCTGAGTCGTACTTGTTCTAGAAGGTACACGGCACAAGAGCTAACAAACGGTTTGGAATTTATAGAAGAAATCGAAGTTTTGTTAGGTAACTAACTCTGTGCCTTCTTCTTAATGTGCCCCATTTTTGCAGAATTCCTTTGGAATAAACATACAAGCTGTTCAACAAATCATTAAATTTTCGTGTAACTGTATGAAGAACACTGTTTATATTACTTTCTGTCAATAAGATCCCTTGTACAAGCACCTGAAATCATTCCACTCTTAATGACCCATTTTCAACAGAGTTAAGGAAACACTCAAAAAAGAAGAAACAGATCGGCAACCCACCAAATCCTGTTCAAAAGCTAAAAAAGGTATGAACACGCAGACACTGACATAAATTTGTGGGGAAAATGTTCGACGTGTTCCAGGAATAGTGAACTGCAACGAAAGCAAAAGGATTCCGAATAAAACTTGAAGAGCAAAAATCATGCTTACATTGCTGTTATTACAATATTATCTCAAAGGTTAAGATAATTACAACATTAACGTTAAGTTACAACGAAAATTCGTGCAATTAAAGATCTGAAGACCTATGGAGAGGTGAAGAAAATGAAGGAAGGGAAGAAGAGAATCCGCTAGTCTTTGCACAAAAAGTTGGTCGCGGCTAAGACAAGTACTTTTTCAAATAAGCATTGTTCAACGAAAAGAACTACGTTAGTTCAATTAAATTACGGTCGAAAAAACAGCCAAAAAGACACCGTGTCGATGAACTCTTGACGCAAGTAGACACCACTATTGGGGGAAAATTGTGTGGTTTTGTCTAATATAACAGGAAAAAATCTCCAGATTTTCAGAAGGATAGCAGGTCAAATAAGAATTGGAAGAAAGAATATACCTTTTTGCTGACAGAAGCCATGCTCAGTCGTAGGCATTCCAAAAGCTTTGTATGTAAACAGCAATTACTCTCTTCATCCTGGAAAGCTTTTTGTTAAAAATGGAGCGAAGTAAATATAGAACTAAAATACATTTACCGCAACAATAGTCGATGGACTAAGATCGAGTACAAAAACATGACGGTAATAACGTGATATGTAAGTAATCTGAAATCCTTTGATTACTTCATCTGAATGGCCTTTATACGAACCTTCCCAGTCGTTAACGATAAAAATCTACCTTAGTATCCAAGCAAACCCTGAAGTCCTCTCCAACGACGCAGTCGTCAGGTTCGCCGTTCATTGGAATGATACCGACAACGCTCATTTCATTGCTATATTCTCCCTTAAAGTGTTACATTTTAGGAACCAATCCATTTCATGCAATTAAAAATAACAGAGGGCACTGGGAAATAAGACAGCTTGAGGAAATGTGGAACCCAAATATGTGAATAAAGAGAATTTACAGAGAGAATGTGGTTTCATGGGGAAGTGTGTTAAAAGCAGTGTGGCGGACTACTGGGTAAATGGGTGAATACTAGAGAGGAATTGTAGATTAGGCAACACGAAATATCGCATACTTCCTAATCTAAAACGATTGCAGACTTCTTCATGAGCGATACTATCGGTCAACGAGCATAAAGGTGGGAATCCCATTACGAACTCTAGCTCATCAACGCTATGCCTTACTTTGAACGAGCAGACTTGGTGTAGGGGGAAGTCGCAAACGCAAACGCATGATCCAGGTATCGAATCCTGGTCGATGTCTGTACAAGTCAATCAAGCCTTCAGTCCCAAAGAGGCCGGTGATTTGATACCACTGTCTGGGAGGAAAAAACATTAACTAGCAGATCGCTGGGAGACCGCAGTTCATTGTAAAGGTCGATGGATATTGTTTACGCCACTACGATTCTTCAGTGGTGGTGATAAAAGCTTTTCATCAACGGTTCCGTTACAGTCTAGCCCGACTTGCGGAATTTGGCGCTAACGCACCCTAAGTTATTTGCTCTTCTTCGATTTCTAAGGTACGGTATTTCCATTGATAAATACAATACCACTCAAGTAGTGCCATGAAAGGTTGAGGATAAGATTACAACGTACCAGAGTGCACTGGAAAAATCATACCTCTCCTGGTGATTCTTCAATACGTACTGTCTTATTGAGGTGATCGAATAGCCAATGAGCCCGAATGTTTCGTGACACCCGGAAATTCCGGTGCATGTATATAAAAATCTCTTTTGCGTCTCGGACATTACCCATTCCTGAAACTTTCGGACTGTCCGAAAATAAAGTAGCGAAGGAAATAGATGAAGCTATTGGTGGTATACCTTTCGAAGATGCGTAACCGTTGGACATCGTTCCAGTCTCACTACCGTTGGACATCGTCCCGGTTCCCACTTGTTGTTAATTCACCAAGGACAGTATGCCATTCTAACTACAACAAACTAATCTTAATTAAGCTTCATTTTCATGTATATGCTTTAATGAAAAACGAAAGATATCATTAGTTTGGATAAGACTTGTGTGTAAAATTGGACGAGTACGCAACTTTGCGGCTTTCTCAGTTGGCGGCAAGTTAGTGTTTACAAACTTTTCGCACAGTATTTTTTACTTGAAACTATACTTTACTTTCATATAATTTTTTTCACTCTATTGCAGTAGCTCGTTGTTGGGGTTTCACATTGGTTGAAAATATGCCACCATTTCGTGAAGGCGGAGGATACTGGTTCTATTTCCCGAAACCTTGGAATCATAGGAAATGCCCGACCAGGTAAACTTGTTTCATTTTTTTTGGCTTTATGTATTAAAACTTTTGGATTCTATCGCTCATATATTTTAATTCATCGATAGTGTTTTTGTGATCATGCTACTCTTCCTTGTCGAAATACCGTCATGGAAAGAGCAGACTCTATTCCACTATTACTAAGTAGTAACTTCAAATGTGAAGGTTATATTTGTTATATGGAATAAGGTCTATACCAACAGAAAAAGCTCAATTGACTTTTTTTATGAGACCCCGCCTGGGCGCGGTGCTGGTCGAATGAAAGGAAAGTGAAGTTCTTTATAAGGTTATGATGTGCTGAGGCAATTGCGAATGAGGGAGGACACCTGAAGCCGATTAAGATTTTGGAGAACTGCCTCCTTTACCCACAAATGTGTGACATACTTTTGAAGGGGCTTGGGCAGATATTCATCCCAGTAAACTCACAAAAGTTTCCAGATAAGTGGCGTCGAGAACGTGCTTCAGTTGACATACATTTACACATGTATCATGAAATTACAGCGATAGATACGGCAACCGCTTACTTGACATCAGATTCAGTATTATCACGTCAAAGTCATCGTTTCCAACGACTTTTTATAACCACATTGGCATAGATAATACAGAAAGCATCCATCTCATTGAAAAGGTATGGGAAATACGCAGCGCAGTGCAACCCGATAAACAAAACCGGTGATGCCTACGCTCTGAGGAACACTATAGCATGGTACATGAACAGTTGATAAAGCATACCCATCTAGCACTTACACGGCATGTTTTCTAAAAAATGATCCAGTTTACCACCATTGGATGTACATCTATCAGTTTAACATAGGGATTAAACCTCAGACTCTGCCAATGCTTTTCTAAAATCAAGATTAACCACAGCAACATCATTCTTAGCATCTACTGCTTTAGATCATGCATTTATACTAGGTAATGATGGACTCACCATTACAAAAACCGTGATGTTACTTGGAAATAGGATGATATTTCCCTAAATGACACGACAAGTGTTTTTTTTTTTGCTTCCTCAAATACCATTGCAAAAACCGAGGGAAAGCTGACCGGTCCATAATTGTTGGGGTCTGAGTGAGGCCTTTTCTTGGGGAGCGGTATAACCTCACAATACTTCGATTTACAAGAGACTTCCCCGTGCGTAAGTATTGAATGAAAATAAACCCGATTGGGTCTAGAATTTTGTAAATGCAGTTTTTACTTTTACCAATGATATGCCCGCAGTTAACGCTTTCTGTTTCAGCAACGAGCGGAAAATCAAAAGCGAACGTCTGTCGAACGTAGTTGAGAATTTGCGGTCTATGAAAAGAAAGTCGAAACGTGGTCATCATCCAAGTTCGAGCTACAGCAAGGGACAATCCTTGTTCCTGTTACCGAAGTTCGTGTTTTTGATCTTTTTTTATTGTATTCGATTTATGTTCATTGCCTCACAGGGTTGGCGATTTGTGCGCAAAACTCCAGTCTCAGACGGGACTCGAACCCACACTCGTCCTTTCCGGGGACCGTGCTCTTACCCCTTACACTACCGAGACCCCGCTTGCCCTCGCCTTCTTAATGGCTTGTATGCCATAGCTTATCAGCACTCAACACGTACAACGTGTTGAGCCGGTCGGTCAATATCAGCACTGAACCGATAAGCTGTAAGCTATGGCATACAAGCCATTAAGAAGGCGAGGGCAAGCGGGGTCTCGGTAGTGTAAGGGGTAAGAGCACGGTCCCCGGAAAGGACAAGTGCGGGTTCGAGTCCCGTCCGAGACTGGAGTTTTGCCCACAAATCGCCAACCTTATGAGACTTTCGCTTCGCGCACTGCGGCGTTGAAACAGCAGTTAACAAAACATCAAGGCAAAACAAGTTATATTATTTTCATTGCGTTAAAAACGTAGAAACGGTCGGTTTGGTTCCACAAATAATTTTTTGGGAAGAAATTTAATGCTTGGAAGAAGCGGAAGTGGCATTATACGGCCGAAAACTGCTTAGAAAGGGTACATTGTGGGCTCAACATTATTTCGAGATGCTCATGGCTCCCAGGGCGCTCAGTTTTTTGAACCCCTTCTGGAGATGGTTGCGAGTGCGAGGGGCAGTGTCTACAACCCTACGTAGTAACCAACCTGCTAGGTTGCTCTAGGAATGCAGGACGTTCTTTATCATCACCGTGTCCTCGTTCAATACTGGAAAAGCAGAGCTGTAATCATAGCAGTCTTCCGAATTCCCCACATTTCTTTTTGCCATTGCACAAAACGGCGCTTTTGTTTCTTAGCTCTCTGCTCACATATCGTGTCATCGCTATTTGCTTTCAATGAGAAGATAGGGGACGTCGACGTTTTAATCTCAAGTAATTTATCACAAACTTGCAAAAATTCCATTTTTCGAAAGCGAGTATGTTCGATATTCTTGAAGGTATTCTTGAAGGAAGTGAAGGTAGGTCGTAGCTTTGGTATGAACATACTTTTTGTGAACTTTTTCACTTTTAAAAACTTGGGTACGGTGCAGAATGCTTTACCAATGTAGATAATAAACTGGAGCTTTTTCAATTTGAAGTAACCACTAAACACTTACATTACTGGTTTTCTCACGTCTGGATTGAGGCTACATCACAGTGAGCTATTACAGTTTTCTAGACTTTTGCGAAAAGCAAAAACCAAGTAATTTCTGAGGTATGATTGATCAAAACAGGAGCTCGGCGTGGTGGATTTTGGTTATACGCCCTCACGACTAGATACTCACTCGGAAGAAGCAACGTTTACGTTGAATTTTAGTGTGTGGCACGCCCCAAGAGTTTCTTTTATGTTGTACGGTAGACTGTCAGGAATTTAATTTATTGAGAATCCATGTACCTGGTTAGCAAAAAATGTATCGTTAAATAGAAACGCAATCGAACAGAAAGTCTAATAAGCTTTCAGAACCCTTTCCAAAGGCATACGTCAGTGGGACTCAAATGAGGCTCGTTTCAAGCGCTGGTTTAGAAAGATGTCGGAGCAAAAGGCAGCCATTGTTTCTGCGGATTCTTCAGGTGGAGCTATTAGACATCTTCTTTGTAGTTCATTCTTTCGGTCATGATCCTTTCAGAGCCTTTGAATTAAAATTTCGCGGTTTTGATATTCTTAGTGCTCTTAGTGCTTGGAATTAGATAACACCATAACCCCACCTCTCCATATCCCTCTCATGACTGAACCTCAGTAAGAATATAAATCGACTTTTCCTCTAAATGATGTATTTTCGAAGTGTAGATGAGTTTCGGTTGTTGGGATGGGATGATCCCACTCCAACTTTACGACCAGTGAGCTGCCATCAATTTTTTCGGTGTAGCACTTGAGTAACTCGAGTAAGTTGCCTTTCATCTCAGATTTCAGCTTCGGAAGGCGATTCTCAATCAGTCAATGAGTTATCATTGCTCAACCACAGCTACGAAGAGGAGCCCCTCCGCGGTTATTATGCAGTTTGGCTGTCGAGTGCATCAAAAGCTTCGATCAAAAAATTGTCCACTCCCGAAAGAGTGCGTCAACTTCAAATTATAATTACGCTGTAGTGGTTACAGCTTGCTCTCCTATTTTTATTGTTGTTGCTAGTGTTTTCTATGATTTATTATGCTTAAAGAATGATGGAATTTAATTCAGGTTTTTGATTATATTAGTGGAGTATGGAAAAGCCGTGAAATTGGCAAGCTCCTTGCAAAGGTGAATTTTGTTTGGGCTGAACAGTTTCGCGTTGCCATTGTCCAGAGCATTCTTCTCGTTCTATAATACTATTACATACGTTTTTCAGTCTCCTAAGGGAGGTGTTCACGGTAGAATAGAGGACATATCGTCGCTATCTGCCAAGGGCCGAGATGTATTGCAGAGGTGGTCGAGAGTCGTTAGCCACTACGATGCTGGAAATGAGTCTGGTGAGAGTTCCTATCCTACCATATGTAACTGGCTGTGTCTGTTGGTTTGTGTATGTATGTATGTGTGTGTGGATCGGTGCATATTTTTAATAGGAGGTTCCTAACTCCTCTTCCGTGGACTCTCTGAACGTTCAATCTTGTTTGGAGTACAGACTGCAATATGTGAACACTCATGGTAGATGGCACAACCAAACTCTGCCCGCAGGGGGTGGAGAGTGCTCGAGAGAATAGTTCGACCGCTAAGCCTTAACTTGTGTCTTCCTGAACCTAGAGCGTTTGAATTTGGAAGTGGCACAGGCGGTAGGAAGAGAACTTTAGTTGTAGGTAATAGGAAGTGATAACATTTGATAGGAGCTGATAAGGAGCCTTAGAAGGCAAGAACCGCACAATTCGTTGCCTATTTCGTGTTAACGGTAAATTCTTGGGGCACTTCAGTGGGGGGTGTGGGTTAAGAAGGAACCGTAAGTGTTTGGTAATAGAATTTATTAGCCTGTGGGATGGGAAGGGACCGTAGGTGATTGGTGGTAAAGACCGATAACAAGCGATGGAAGCTGGCAGAGAACCATGTAAGGCTAGAGCCGCTAGGTTTGTAACGCCCTTCGTGGACGGTAGTGGACCTTGACATTTCATTAGGTTATATAGGATATGGCGGGTAATACGTACCCTGTGACAGTAACTGACAAAAACTGATTAGTGCTGGTAAGGGGCCTTGGAGGACAAGACCCATTTAGCAATTAACTCCTCACGACTTCCGTATCTTAGATCTCGCTTTACAGGAGAAGAAAATTCGATACTTTTCTTGCTATTAGAATACGATTACTATCAAGCAAGGATTGTGGCTTAATAAAGAACCACGCTTCTCTTTGATTCGGTATCATTTGCGACAGTACTTACCGACCGTCACTAATCTGGGATTCTCAACCAGTGATGTGATCGTAGAGAAACGAAACGTCGAGAGAAGGAGTTCCATTAAGAACGACGTCCAATGGTGTTATTATCATTCGACAACATTTGCGAGTACCAATCAAGGTTGTGGTTGCCTTGCACTTAAATCTCTAGTTGGTGATTATTTTCAAGAAGTCTTCTAATTAATAATCATCGGCGCATGCTGAATACCACCTGCCTTGCCCTGTTCGTCCTGTGTCATATTGGTGTTCGGAAAAGTATCATTTGTTCCAAAGGAGTGGCTATTTAGCCGATGGCTGTCAGTGGCTATAGCTCTGTCATAAAAAGGAGGGAAGCCTGTGTTAGCCGAGCGATCCGAATTTAAGTGAACTGCGGAAGAAGTGGTGATGGGACAAGTGGCGCACTACCATGATGCATGGTTTGGAACCGCCAACCAAGTAATCCTTTCCTCCTAGGCTCGGTCAATTCCTAGGCGCGGTCAGTTCGTATCAGCCTCGTTTGGTGTACCAAAAGCACTGAGTTGTACTTCGGCTGGCATACTTGATGTACAGGCCAAACACGCATTGGTACGCCTCTACGACCCTGAATGGAAGTCGAATGCATCCAAAAATGGGACGTGATTCAATTGAGTACGAGATTCCTCTCTTAGATATCTAGCACTTGTGGTCTGTGGTCGTATTATATGTTAATTCGAAAAAGAGCAAGCTATTTGCAGATGAATCGTCAGTTCTTGTTATTGTTACTGATGTCTACTGCTACTGTCACTGATCACCATTATCAAACCCCCTTCCTCCCTTCATCCCCCTCATTGCTCTTCAATCTTTCTCATGAATAGTTTCCATAATTGGAGTGTGGGTAGCGTAAACAATTCAGAGTAGCGCTACAATCCTTCTATCTCTTCCTTTATATCCGAGAACTCGTGTAGACTTCATAATGGCCTACGGAGTTGGATCACATTGTCCAATCGTATTTTTACAGTTTGTGTGGTGAAATATTGCGAAGGGTGATTTGACGATTTCAGGGGAGGACGAAGATCCCGTAGAAATGTGGAACCGTGCTGTGGAGACTTCTATGCTGAGTTCTAGCGCACTATCGCCAGGCAAGTGCTTTTTTCACGAGAAGTCTTCCCACTTCAGCATGATGTTTTTCGAACGTCTGCAGGGATTGTTTGTTAGATTTGTAGAGCGTCAAGTAAAGCCGAACTTTGAAACATATCTAATTCTCCATAAACAGCACTTTTTGATTTTACTAAGCTTCTTTTTAAATTATTTTTGCATGCTTCTGATCATTTCGATCGCAGGAAAGGCAGTTTTACCTTAACTGGCAGTTAACCCAGATCCTGGGTCATAGGTCCGCATAATCATTTGGATTTCATACAACGATTTCTGCTGTGAGAGGTGTTTTTGATCAGCATAACTATTCTGTCGAAAAGTGCTTAAATAAAATCAAGGTCGATATTTTCAAGATTATTCGAATTTATTTTCAGACTAATTTAGCTTCAACAAAAAGTCACAGAAAAGATTTAGTTTTAGAGATATTTTTTGGTCAATAGTAGAGACAAGCCTCCGGACAGCAGATGGATCCTCCCTCCAGAAAACGAAGAGATAGGATGTCCTGGACTGAGAAATCTCCCTCTCCACAATGATGATATTCTTCGAGTTTTTTACTTGAGTGAAGGTCGAGCTTACAGAGACATCGAAATCGCCCGGAGAAATTTGGTTGAGGACAAAATTTGTCCTGTAGATTTTCTTTTTTGTATTCATGAGTAAGGGCGTTGTCGGTCAATAAGACTATCTCACCGGAGTGTTATTGCTCACGTCGTAGTTCTGTCATAACGGCAGGGACGGTTACTCCTCGCACGTGGACATAGTAGGGTCGCCTCGCTAGCAAGGTTGAGCTGTTTGTTCCGGCTTTTCGCCTACATCGACCTGTTCCCTGCGTTTAGTGCAAATTTTACATGTGATCCCTTTCATACCGTCCCAGCAAAGGGCATACTGCACCTAAGTCCATCGAACGGATACAACTAAACAATGAGTGAGGGATGGTCCACACGAACTTTTTGCTACTCAGGCATCTAAAATATTTAGGAAGCTCTATATGGAACTTTGCTGTATGTCCCTTGTTTTGAAGTAGTCACTATCTATCGAATTAGAGCCATCCGTTCATGTTGTCTTCCAGTCAATACAAATACCAATGACATTGCCTTTAATCTGTTGTTAGTCATTGATTGAATAAAGTTCTTATTATTTCAGGAACATTGAACAATGAACATGGATCGTCACGGAAACGAAAGAATTACAATGGTGAAAAAGAAAATTATTGCGATATAGAAGAGCCTCCTCTCGCTCAAAGTACCGCTATCCGACCGAAACGTCCGGAACTCCTTCAACAGGGGAGCACAGATAATTCAGACAGTTCAGCAGTGGTCACTAGGGTTGTTCCCCAAGAAACTCCTGTTAGCGAAAATGTTTCGCGAGCCAATTTGAGCGACGGCACACCTTCGACGTCGACGAGAAAACGTTCCAAGGTGAAGGATATGCACTCCAGAGAGCAGAAACTGCCTGCCACACCCGATGGAACGTCATCTGAAAGTCGAAGACGATCGCCAAGGCTAAACGTGACGAAGTCAACGAGAAGCATTTCTAATGGTAGCGCTGTAGACAGGAAAGGAAAGATGGATCACGAAGGCTCGATATCTACGTCACGACCGGATGTGATAAATAATAGCTCCAAGGAGAAGATTAATGACGAAAATCTAAACATACGCAAGGAGAATGATCAGCCTTTGCAGTTACGAACTCCACAGCTTAAAATTCCGGTTGGTGTAAGGACGCCAATATCAGTGAGGAACGTTTCTAACTCACTACGGCGTCGTGCATTGCTGAACAGTGCACTTAGAAGTAGCGCACAGAGGTCACCCTTTGTGAGAAATGATTCTTCCCAGAAGAGAGGGTCTGAGGCTCCAATGGAAACTCCAAAAATTAAACGACCACGAAAGAATGATGCATCGACGCCCACTTGCAACGGTAACCGCAGAAGTCCAAAAACAAGGAAAGCCTCCTGAAAGCAACCGCTGATTGGAAAGCATTGTAGGCTACAGAGACACATCACTTTCGCTCCGATTGACTTAATGCTAAGGAACAAGAGATCGGCGCCTTATTTGTCCAGTCCATATGTCTGTGGGCCTCTACTATTCGCTTCAATATCCTCTGCTGGACCTTTTATTCTGTCTTTCCTTTTGTATACTCTCTAAGGGTTGAGCTGAAAGGTCTGATTCGTTTTATAGCAAGTGTCATATTACCGCCCAATAAAAATGTTAATTTCAAGCACAGCCATGGCCGCAGTCAAGTGGTCGGTTAAGTGACACTTATCACAAAGCAGTCGTTCATTGTTGTAGGATCATGGACTTGTCGTAGCAGACGATGCTACACGGCTTAGTAGCAGCCCATACGATCTGCAGCGCTTACTTCTTACACTCTTAACTTCACGCTTCTATGCAAAATCTTCTTTTTGATTGATTATCCCTTTTGTAATTGTATGGGAGCCATGCTGCATGCATAAGTTACCCCGCAAACGCAAAAGTCTACCGTGCTTATCACCCACTTTCGTTACGCTCCTTTGCAACATATTCTTAGTGTAGTGCGAGTGTTTGAACGTCAGTCCGACTGCCGAAACGGCGTTCAGAAGTTTGGTGTTGTTTAAGTCAAAGTATGTTGATTGATAAGCCTCAGCACAATCAAGTAAACTGGGGGTGGCAGAATTGGCGAATTGGACGACGTTCACTCTGTGAATTCAGGATGCAGCACCTCTATGTAGTTGTTTGGAGTTGCTCCCTTGCTACCATACCTGCTTGTATTACACGATATTGAAGCACATTCAGCATCCACTCATGACCATATTTCAGAACTCCGTTTGAAGCTTTTATTTCAGTGTTTGTTCATCCATTTCTGCCAGCATAATTATTCTCCTTCCCTTTACGCACCAGATTTGCCCACTAACACTCATCACCTCGTCTTTGGGAGAAGTGCAATGACGAGTACATTAACCACGTGCGCCCAATTTCAGCTTCCACAACCTATTCAGTCTACGATTCGCTTTTCTAATTGTATTATATTGCTTCAAAAGATATTGTAATACTTCATAACTTGGAAATGAACGTTGAATTGATTGTAAAAGTTGTAAAGTACTCAGACGTGAATTGCTTGTTACCAGCTCGATAACACATGTTCATTAGCGATCCATAAATCAACGTACGTTCTTGTTTTACGACACAATTCGTGCTTGAATCTTCTGAGATTCTGTGAACATGAGATGAAATGTGCTAATACTTCTGTCATGATTTTGTCATGATGATGTTTTAGGGCAAATCAAGTCACAAGGCTGGTTTCCGAAAGAACGAAGGGGATGTCCCAATTATTTCAGATTGCCACTCGTGCTATTACAATCTACCAATGCTGTTCATCAGTTTCAGAGAAAACTCATAAAATGGAAATGTTGATGACAAAATATATTACATAGTTATACGGAGGAAATGTATTAGGTGTGTGCATTAATTTCTGCCGCCGAATGCGAAGGGTCGTTGCGCGAATTATGTTAGAGGTTTACCGGTGAAACCTGTTGTATTCTGCACGGTAGGGTATTGGCTACCTACTTAAGGGCAGGCAGATCAGTTTTTCCCAAAATCCTATTGCTCTCGGACTGGTTGGTCATGGAACTTGACGAACCGTTTTGCCGGGGGAGGGGGCTCTTCTCCTGCTATTTGATTTCAAGAAAACTAGCATTGAAGCCCACCGGATGCTTTCGATACTTATGGAGGACAAACTCCATTTGAACGAACCTGCTGAGCCTGCTGAGATGGTTTCTCTTCACTTGAGAGTTTGCAACGAAAGCGGAATGCCCATTGTCAAAAAGTACTGCTGTGTGTGCATTTGGTGTTGGGATCAAAAGGGTGTTGTGTACTATAAGCTGCTGAACCCGAACAAAGCTGTTACTGCTGACCGCTACGAACACCAACTTGACAATATGTAGAATGCTCTCACAAAAAGCGGCCGTTAATCGCAAAAAAATATCATGAGGTGCTGTTTCATCACGAACATTCCATACCCCATGTTGCGAAAAATGTCCTTTAAAAAAATTCCAGTTGTTGGATGGGATCAGCTTGTTCAGCCCGCATACTCTCGGGAACTTGCTCTTTCTAATTACCACCTTTTCCGGTCCGTGCAATTCAGTTTGGCAGATACACGCTTACAGAATGCCGAAGAAGTGCGAAAATAGGTGGATGACTGGATTGCCTCAAAAGATAACGACTTTTTCAGACGCGGAGTCAACAAGATAGCAGAAAGACGGCAAGAAGTTGTAGCTAACAATGGGCAATACGTTGGTTAATGTACACTTGGTTTTAGTTTTGGTATAAATATGTTCTTGCACGCAAAAAACGGAGGAAATTAATGCACATACCTAATATTTGGGTACTTACATTTACGAAAGTGGACTCGTCTAACAGTTTCCGATACGGGCCCGACACATTACCGATAATTAGTTCGTGTCAAACAGATGGATTGTGGAGCACTATCGCAAATATGATGACGATGAACTTCAATGGAACAACCTGTTTGAAAGATATCAGCTTTCAAATTCTCCAGCGCAGATTTAGCTATTTCGTATTTGAAACAGCCTGTAAAGCCAGCTTCAATTTATGCGCAACCGAATATTCAGGTAAGATGACCATATCAACGGGCGGAGATGGTGTAGAGGCAAGTGGCGCACCATCAACCGCATATCCAAGGGTTCGAATTTCGATCGGTAACTTACTGAGCAATAATTAGAATACCAATGATAAATCAGACAAGAGTTCAGTTGTAGTAATTACGTAGGGAACTGATTTCATTGAGCCAGAAACGTTCAAAACTGTCTCCCATTCTCGCTATGTTGCTTGAATTTCCAACATGTTGTCCCTTGTGAATGGTGCAGCCCCCACAATCCCTTTGAAACTCTTCCCTACAGATTCATTCTGTATGGAAATCTCAGAAATCACTTTATTCGTTATCTGTGCCTTCAAAGGCACAGTGCACGATAGTTTCGAGGTACCTGTTTTTATTCAAAAACTGGAAGTATAAAGTTTCGAGAGTAATTCGAGTTCGAGAGTAAAGTAGTTTCGAGAAAAATATGGCTACTAAAAAGTAGAGAGAATAGAGGCTGGACGAGATTGCCATGACGGAAATAACATGGAAGGGGTATCGGACGAGATTTCAGTCGTTGTTATTGCGCGTAGAGCTGACTACATCAGGCCAAAACTGTATAGAACTGTCTTCCACTTGCGCTGTGAGTCATGACAAGTTGTTTAAACTTCCTAGATGGGTTCTCCAGGATCGGTGCAGCCTCTAAATGCCCGTGAAACTCGTCCGGTGATGCACACAGGCCAATTTTTGAGCCTTTATAACTCCGTAACTAGGCCGTTTTCTGTCTTAATAGTGCCAGATATGGTACGCGCGGGGGCCTCAAATTCATCTTGTGGGGATAACTGTGCCTTTAATAATATCATATCCAACTGATCTCAGGCCACGTCCGACAGCAGATTTCCGTGTCACTTCTCATAATTTCGGGGTTCTTGCCGTCGATCATTCTTCTGCCTTTATCGATTGTTACCATTATCGTTCAAACTGCAAAGCAAGTGCCTTCTTGTAGAAAAGGAAAGTGTAGCGATTCGAGTGATTTGACGTCAAGTCCTCTTACATGGTCATTTACCAGCTCTGCAACTTGTTACCGTTTTCCAATTTTCTTGTTGGCTTTCTTCAGAGTGCTCAGTAAATCTTAGCAAAATACATAAGAGGCACAACCAATGCAGTCGAATAGGGAAGTTTCTGAGCTGTACGGCACCTCACATTTTACTGTTTCAGTCATGGACAGAGGTAGGTCTACATTATAAATAAAAGTTTCCGAGAAATCTAGTGAGTTCTGAGCATGTACCCTTCGATTATTCTGCTTTCCCTAACGATTATGGCTGAATTACAGCCTTCAAATGTGAAGAGTAGTTATCTAATCTGATTAGCAGCAGGATGTGTGCCTGTGATTATCATTACTTCACCTTCGCAAACGCCCTCACAGTCGTTTTAGCGAAACAATAGGCTGGAGAGGCGCATCTCTCTCGTACCTCTTCAGTTCGCCTTAGCAACCGACTTTGGATCGATTTACCATCTTTACGATATCTCATGTGGCTTTAGATGTTGCCTGCTTTGCACTGCAAAATCCTTTCTGACTTGGTTATCGCTTCATAGCGGACTCCTAATAGGAACCCGCAAGTACATTCTGAAGAATGAGTAGATCTTTTTCACGGTTCTCAGCTGATGTTCCATTTTTACTGCACTCGCATAGCACATGAATCAAGGCGGTTTGTCGAAGGAGAGTTTAACAGTAACTTGGACTGAGTTCCAAAATACTGATGGGTTCAAATGTTAGGACTGCTAATTTGTGCTGGTACTGGACAATTACATTTTCAATCGAAATTATTCAAATGGATGATGAAGACGGTGCATACATAGTGGTTAGGGATGGTTGTAATATGATAGATTATATGTTAGATTTCATTACAAATATCATTCTATTATATCTTGCATAAGATGGGTTTAGAAATCACTTGTTCCGGACTTATATCATCCATCTTTACTCAACTCTTCACTTGCTCAAGTCTGAATCGTTCAAAGCCCACCACTTGAGTAGAATTTGCTCTCGTTACCGTGAACGTGGTGGAAACATTTTATCCAGATGCAAGCGTTTTTCCAAAACGATATCCTCGACTTCGGTATCTTGTTTCCATTATATTAGCGGGGTAAAGGCCGTCCTAACGACATCAAAGTGCGCCGTTTGGTCCGCAAAAATACACGCTCTTAGCATTCAAAAAGCTCCTTCGATACTGCATCGAAAGCACCTTGTTGGTTCGCGAATTTTAGAAATCTAAACTCGCTTCATCAGTGTAGTTCTATCTTATCTCCTTTGTCAAATTATCTCAATCCTAGTCTAGATCTTGACAGCTTTCATTTTTCAATTTCCTGCTGCTTTTATTTCTTTCGCATGTTTTCGATTTGCCTTTTCCCTCATCCTTACCTTTCTCCATCCCACCATCATCACCCTGTGCGCTTACTGAATGTGTACTTCTAAAGAAAGCGTAGATATATACTCGATGGCTCCATCGTGATAGGTTGGTGTGGGAGCACTGATTTGATTATCAGTCCTGCTAGTAGTCGATTACACTCAAGTTTACACCTTCAATGCAATGTCAGCGTTTGGTGGTACTTAGGAGGGAGCTCTGTCATCATTCTTAGCATTATTTTCGACTGATGCGAAGACACGTTTGCCATCGGTGTCTTTTATGAGTGAAATCACTAGTTTGGTGGCAACAGACAGGTCAAATGTATTATGGAGTAATTGCAAGCGTATTTTCGTGTGTCGATTTCTGTATCTGCCGGTGATGCGTTTGAAGGAAAATTCGTAGCGTTGGTTCGGGTGGCGGAACGTTTTCCCGGGTTCCCACGTCCAGCGGTAGTACTTCTACGGCGACTGCCGTATCCTTCCACTGAGCATTCAAATCTTACTGCTCGTAGAGCGCGATCTAGTCGGGCTCATAGCGCGCGATCTAGTCGGCGAGCGCTACCAGCCGTTCGGGAAAAAGATGCCGTACCCTTTTGGTTCACAGTGAGATTGTACACATCAAAGGAATGCAGGTGGAAGGTGGAAATATTGACGGTAGGAAGCAAGAACTCAAACCGCCCATGTGGATGGAGCGTAAGTGTTATGAGCTGTTCAAATTACGAGTAAGGTTATTCGGTTTACCATAAATTGTACTATGTAGGGATTTTTGAGCTGGGTTCCGCGCTACTTGAAAAGAAAATGCAGTTTCAAGCCATATGGAAATACGTGTTGGTACCAGTAAAGATTAAGGATGCAGCATCCTGACAGCTAAGAGATAAGCAAACCAGACAGTTTGGTCCTTCTGCTGGATGCGTTTGCATTCCCCCTGTTTGTTTTTAATTTTACTTTGTACTTTAACGCATATTTTATGCTCCTTCTTGACCGCGACTTCTTTCTTATAGTTGTGGGAGTAACATTAAAACAAACAGAGAGAATACAAATGCATCCAGCAGAAGGGCCAAACTGTCTGGTTTGCTTATCTCGACAGCTAGGTCGGACATCAAAGTGGGCGGAGCTAGGACCAGAAATCTGCACTCCTGTGGAGAAATATTCTGGAGCAGGGTAAACGTGAACAGAAGTTGGCACAGTTGGAAAGGGCATGACAGATTGGGAGGGTGTGGATGTTAGTGGAGCTGTAATTCGAAACCCACAGTCCTACTGAAAAGGGTTACGTATCATATACCGTTTATTTACAATCTTTAGACAGCTCTCTTTAATTATGAACCGTTTCCATGCGGTAGAATTTATGTCGTGGAGATGTTGGTAAATCACCTGTATCACTCGTCATCACATTGATCAT